ATTATTGTTAACAGGTTTTTATGAGTTATATTCAAACTCCCATTTTCTAGAGCTAATTTGTATTTTCAATATATGGGTTTTACTGAGGTGATATTTTGTTAGAAATAAAGAACAAATTCATGATTTTGACGATAACAAATATGATTAAGTTTGAGAGTATTTAACATGTGCATTACAGAAGATAAATTTACATTCTCAACTCGAACTAATTGAGTTTTATATATAGAATAATTATACCAATTATATATGAGTATATGTTGATTAAATCATAATGTGAAAAATAAATGGAATCACATATATAGAAGAATAAATGTGCAACAGTCAGAATTCAAATATTATCTTATAATGAAAATATATTGCAATAGGAATCAAACAACAATACAAAAAATAATATTAAGATTTTCCAAAAGAAGATGAAGAATATCCAAGTATATAAGATTTGTTCAAGATACATAGAAGGAAATATCTTTCTTCAACCATCTATTACATAAAAAAGGAAACATACAATATGCTGCAAAGACTTACAAGAAAAGTATTTGAACCATACAATTGAAGAATATCCAAATATATTAAAAGGAGATTTTATGCAAAGAAGAATATCCAAATATACTAAAAGAAGATTTTATGCAAAGAATATCAAAGAAATATGAAGAATATCATATTAATGAAGAAACGTTTCAAAAAATAATAAAGGCTAATGATTCTATAGTCAAAAAATAATGTTTCCTCAGTGAGTATTTTCATTTAGAAGATCTAAGAGAGAAAAGGTCATTGTTATATCCTTCACCTATTAAAATGAATCATTAGTTAGGAATGTTTCATTGTTCATCCTCCCTGTGAGAGATATTTTAGTATATAGAAAGAAGTCATTGTTATATTATTCACCCGTGAAGTAAACCCTTAGTTAGGAGTGCAAATTGTCTATCATCTTTATGAAAGTTATTTTTGTGATTGTAACACTTGAAACCATCCTTGTAGCTAAGAGCGACAACAAATAATTCTCGTATTTTTAATCTCGGAAGGAGATTAAAGTTGATAGTCAAGAATGACTTGGTGTATTCATTAGTAGCCAGGAGTGACAAAAAATAATACTTGTACTCTTAGTCTTAGGAGGAGATTAAGGTTGATAACTAGAAGTGGTTTGATGTACTTGTTAATAGTTAGGAATGATAACAAATAATACTCATGTTCTTAATCTTAGGAGGAGATTAAGGTTGATAGCAAGGAGTGGTTTGGTGTACTCATTGATAGCCATGAGTGTGGTTTGATGTAATCAGATTAATATTGTTGATTATAGTAGAACCCTTTATGTGTTCTTAAAGGAGATTGAATGCAACCTTGTGTTAGGGTGAACTAGTACATATGTAGTACCTTCATCTTATTATCTTATATGATTATGTATTTTATTTATTACTTATTTGTTTTCAGAAGAACGTTTTAAATTAGCAAAAAATTTCTATTAAAAATAACTTTATTCAAATCTCCCTTTCTAGAGCTAACTTGCGATCTTGTATTTAAGTTAAAAATAATAGTCATTAAAATAGTTTAACTCATTTTTTTATCTAATAAATACCTAAGACCTTTTATGATCACTAAACACTTGAACTATAAAACCATAAAAGCAATGTATCCATATCTTTAACATAAAAATTATAGACTCTAACTCAAGATCATGGGTAGGATAGTATTTCTTGTGTCTTTAATTGTCTAGAAGCTACAATTTAACCTTCACTCACTAACACTCCACTAAGGCCTGTTTCAGAAGCATCACGACTAATAGGACTCAGTTTGGTTTGATTTTTTTATCAAAAGATCATTTTAACCACACATAAAAATCAAATGTGGTTTAACTTGGTTCAATTTTAATTTATTGTAAAATTTGAACCAAATCAAACCAATGTTTATGGTTTTGTTTGGATTGATTAGTTTTTATTATTATTCAATTATTAACCAACTTTAAAAAGATTGTAAAACATTTCCTTAGACTAACCTTAGTAGTCATCTTTTTAAACCTTTGGCCCGCAAAGAGTCAATGATAACACATATGTTATACACACATTTATAGCTTTATTGTATAATAAATGTGTTTTTCATATGTTTTATTTTCACTTTTAAATTCATTTTTAGTTAGTAGTAACAAATTGGGTTCAATGTACATATTTGTTCTAATTTTATATTTTTAGCTAATCTAACATTTTCTTATTGTTTTGGCTATAACTTTTTCTATATTCATTACTTTTGGCTAATTCAAGTTTCATTAGATTCAAAATTTTTACGAATATCAACTAGATATATGGTTTGTTGGATTTTGAGTTTTGTGTTATTTTCTACAAATTTTAGAATAGTTGAGGCAGATTTGTTAAAATTTTGTAAAGAACCCATTCGGATTTGATTTTAATTTGTATTAGCTTATCTTTTGCAATTGGGCTTATGAACCTAATTAGAACCCACATTTAGGTCACGTTTAATTTAGATTTGAGAGTCTTTATGTAGACTAGAAGTGCTCTAAACTAATATAAAGAAATTATTTGTTTAGTTTTTCTGTCTAGGAAGTATCTCTACACCTTCTTTTTTCTCTATTTTTGTTTTTGACTATTTCTATTCTTCTCTTTTTTTGGTCTAAATTAGTTTTTTTAAAGCCCCCAAATGTAATTTTTACAAAAATAATATTAAGAATTCAATACATTTCAATGTCTTAGGAATACCTAGGTTTGCACTCTATATTGAAAAATATTTAAAGTAAATTTAGTATATTTGATTTTATGAATAAATATTTAAAGTAAATTTAGTATATTTGATTTTATGAATGATAGTAAAAATCAGTCTAAGGAAGAACCAAAACCAAAAGCAGAATATTAAAGAGGTTTAAGAATAAAAAAAAAAAACAAAACTTGAAAAGGAATTCTTGAAGCGAAAGAGCTTAAGCAATACTCAATGGAACACAAATGACACGATACACATAAATAAACTCAAATTTGAGATATTTACTTAATCTTGAGCATAACTTTTAAGAAAAATCAAATGAGGACACATTGAAAAAATCTTCATTAATGCACAATTAAATATAATATTGTATTAATAATTAAACTATTAATTAATATTAAACATGTATAAATGACAACTTAAAATAGTCCTCTTAAAAATCTTATAAATATGATTATTCTATTTTTTATTCTCTATTTATTATTTTAATACTCATTTTTTTATATATATTAACTTAAACATTAAAGTATTTTTACAGGTGAAACTTTCACTCTTTCCAATATTCATCAGATTTTGACCTAAATAAATTTAAAAATAATGGTAAATTAAAATCAACTTATTTAAGTTCCTTTCACCAATTTCTTTAAAATTTATTTATTACTATAATTTTCTAACAAGAATCTATTTCAAAATTAACTTCCATGCAAAATAAACAAAAAATATAATGATTTGCATTTTTTTTCATAATATTATTCCGAGTTATTAAAAAAAATATGTAATCAAGTGAATTTTCTTGTAGGATCATATCTAAAGGAGTATGGATTTTGGTTGTCAAAGTATCATTTTTCTATCTAGAAATCATATCAAAGGAATCATACTTATCCCTCGAAGCATGTGATACTTCTTTTTCGAAAAGTTTTTCACCCTAACAAGGTAGGAAGAAAATTATACTAAACCTTACAAACAATTTTCACCCTAACATTTTTAGTTTAAATTATATATAATATTATATTTCTTATTAACGAGTTAAAGAAATTTTACCTTACGGACTGTCTGACTATAATATATATTTACTGATTTTGGTTGTAAGATAAAATAAATCCAATAATAAAAAAATGGACGAATTTTATATAAGACATGTTTCTTCTTATATACAATGTAGATTAATGTCAAGTTTCGATGTTTGACGTGAAGGTGAATTTACGTTGATCAAAGGGTTCAACATAAATTTACGTTTATCGTATTAATATCGATCTTAAATGAGACGTAAAAAATCTAAAATATCCTACGTTAAAGACCTATTCTGCATTAGTGAATAGGCTTAATTTTAAATATACATTTTTTAAATCTATGATTAATTATAAATTTGATTTTCAATATTTTAAAATCAATTTATTGATAACATATCAATTATGGAATAATATAAAATATTACCGTATTTAAGTGTTAAAATTTATTATTAGTTTAAGTTATTAATAGCATTATGAATACCTAAATAATAAATTAATATTATTAAATATATTTATTAGTAATTTCTGTTAATTAAGGAACAAAATTATGTAATTTTAAAAGTTGTATGATTAAATATGTAATTAACTTTTTTATAAGAATTAAATTTTAGTTGGCGAAATAAGATTGAAATTATATTTAATTACAGCGACTGGGGAGATATTAAATAAACGAATAAAATTAATTAACAAAATAATAAAAATTAATCTTATTTTATTATTGATAAAATAATTAATTTTGTGTTTTAAAATAAAAAAATCTAGAATTTAAATAAATTAAAATAACTTTAATATCTTACCATGAATTTTTATTTTAAATCATTAAAATATAATTTAATCTTATGGTAATATATAATTTTATGATTCTATATTATGTTAAAATAGAATTATATATATAAGAGTAAATTGTATTTTATTAATACTATATAGAGATTATTTAAAATAAAAAATATTATTTATATATTAATATTGAAACACTTAAAAAGACTTCAAAAAAATAATCCTTCGTTATTTCTTAACCTGACACTACACTAGTTCATGCATATAACGCAATTATTATTAATACTGTATGACATGGTGCGTTTGTTGGGGATGGATCCAGATACTATTCACTTTGATTATTATAAGTGTATCATCGTTGCATTTCAAAACAGCACGCAACTAAACAAAAGAAAAAAAAAAACAAGACAATACCACATGCGAAACGAGATTGCATCCATTCACCATACATTAAAATATTGTCTTTATTATCATATCATATCATAGCAGAGCCATTCTGAGCTGACGGAGATGGAGAAGGCCCAGAACGGAGATGCGAAGGAAGAATCCAAGGACTCTATTGGTGGCTACGATTCACTTCACCGTCTTCTCAAGGATAATCTTAACCCTCACCACTTTCAGGTATAATCCTTGCAATAGTTAAGTTTCTGTTTCACTTTTTTTCTTCTTTTTTTTTAGTGATTCATGTAATGGGTTCGTGGGATTTACTTTCCACATGCAACTTTAAGGGATCTGATTCTGGGCTATCGTAATTCTTTAAATTTTCAATCAACATCATCTTGGAAGCTATTCAAGATTTACTTAATGGATCACGAGTCTTTCTTCTAAATGGGTTTCATGACTTGGTGCTTGCATCAATCACATATTAAATGGTCATTTTTTTTTATTAATGGTTCACTGTCATAGTGCTGTGTACCGTGTTGCAGGAAGTTAGCCGTTTGCTTACTGGGCTTAATTGTGGAAAAGCAGTTCAAACAATTGCTCTCCCTGAATCTGCAACTGCCCTCTCTGTGGAGCATGGTTTTGATCTCCAGGTATGATACAATCCACTTTTCCCCGTATGATTGTGTTTTCATTTATGAAAAATGAAAGTAAGGGTCGATTAAGATAAATTGCTTGTGCATGTGATGTGTTCAACTTCTTTTGAGAAATAATTGATTTTCAGAGTGAAGTACAATTTTCGTCCCTGAGAATGCTGACACTCAACGAGGTGGGTCCCCATAGTCTGCTGTACTGCACATTCGTCCTTTTTTTTTTTTTTTTTTCTCGCTGCTATTAACTTCGTTCATTGATGATCGGTGACAACATTGAATGCTTAATTGACATCTTTTTTTCTCTTCTATTCAAGTTTTATTAATTATAAAAGTACGGTGAGTTTTTAGACAAAAAAAAATGCATGCCAAACTCAAAAAACGCATGCTGGCTAAAATTCTCCGCATCTTCTTCATCATAGCCCTTTTCTGATTCCTCTTTGATATTGTTTCTTTTCTTCCAAAACCTTTGGTGTTACTGTGTGACCCACCTGACACACTGTTACTGTGATCTTTTTCCCCAATTTGTCCAATGTAATGTTGTTGTCAATTTTTGTAAAAGAAACTGTTTTGTGCTGGTGAGGCTCTAGATTTAAAGTTTGTTTCTTCTTTAAAAAATTAAGGAGACACACATATTTGAAGGTTTATGATGATGATAACTTCTGAAAAAGAATATGTACTTTCTGAATGGGGTGGAAGTTTTCTCTAATTGTATGATTGCCACTTCACGTGAGATGGAAATTGGAATCACCTTAACATCTGCTGTTTAGTTTTAAAATTTCTTTGGGAACTTCCTTCCAGCTTTAGTACAGAATAATTGCGAGTTGCATAGGCTAAATCTACCTTGCTTGCTCGAATTCGTTCAAATTGAATAGGTAAGATAATGTGGACTCAGGAATATTTTCTTACAGCAACAATGGTACATTCTTTGGCAAATGAGTCCAATACCATATGCACATTCCACTTGCTGTTTTAGCTTAACCTGTTGAATACCTCAAGTCTCTCTAGTTGTGGTGGAACTGGAACAATTTGGAGTAGTACCATGACAATGTAAAAAGCTGCGATAGCAATTGACTATTTCCTCGACTTCATTATTACCCATGAATAACAATCTTTCTAGCTTCGGTCACCAAAACACCAGCACAATTTTCTTAATTAATAAAATCTGAATAAAAGTGAAAAGGGTTGTCACCTAAGCATTTAGCGTTGTCACTGTTCGTTATTAACAGAAAGTAATAAAATGACGAACTTGTCCAACGAACAACAAACTAAAGGAACTAAGTTGTTTAAAACTTTTTTTCAAGGACCTAAGTGTCAACGTTTATATTTTTAGGGACAAAAATAGTACTTCACTATTTTTTACTTTTTCTTGAAAGAACTTTCGAAAAAGGATGGTTATTTCCACCCAAAAAGGCTGAACCAAACTCTCTTGATCATGGAGTTTGTGTTTAAAGTATGAAATGTGTTGTTAATCTAAGTGTGATTTAAGTTTTCTATTGAGTAAAAATGAGAAAGTTAAGTAATATATAAGAAGATCCTTTAACTAATATTTTAAAATTTTAGATTAAGAGTGGTGCGAATCTTTTACGTGTATCAGGTCTTTTCTTCCTTGTGAATTTCCCTTTAAAAGACTGAACAGAAAGTCTACACTTAGGTGGAGAGGGTTCAGGATGTTAAAGTGTAAATTTGCACTGTGCAGTTGGAAATTTTTGAGCCAGTGGATTTTTGTAAATGGTGTAGTTTTTGCCACTTGTCTTTAATACTTTTTAATAATAACTACAATGAAACTTTCATTGTTAATGTGCTCTGAAAGTTTCGATGTTTGGTAAGCTAAAATAAAACTTCTCTGTTATGCCTTTTCTCTTTTCCCCTTCTCTGATATTTTGTGTTAGGCTTTTAGAAATTTTCTTCTTTCCAACTTTAGTTGACCGCAACAGTGTTTAATTTTTGCCTGAATGTTGTGTACTCTTCTCTATTGCTTTGTTTTAGTTTTTAGTCATTTTTTGTCAATCACTTAACTGAAAGTCTAATATTCCTCTCCTTTTAATTCCTTTGTTTTGTAGTGCTGTAATTAACTGACACTCATGCAGCAAACTTGCTTTCTCTATTTCCCCATTCTAAACAAAAGATTAAAATAAATTAAATGTGATACAATATTATTAGTGTATGACTTTTATTTGACAAGGAATTTATTTATCGTTAAGGGATATAAATTGATGTGTTTGCTTAGGTACTATGATTACATCGCAGACCTGCAACAGTGAGGAAGATGGGACCAGGGGAACAGTTAATCTTTCTTTTTTTGTTTCTTTTGCCTGCAGAATCATTGTTGGAATCTATCTTCTTTCTCATTGGTTAACTGATATTTTTGGCATCTATCTTCTTTATAGAAATTCTAGAAGTTATTTTTGTGCTATATTTCTTGTTGATCTGTTGAATTTTAATCTGGTTTATTTCAGGCCTTTTCCTTTTCTGCCGACAAAGAAATATTAAGGGAACCTCGAGTAGTGAGGGTTGGTTTGATTCAGAACTCCATTGCCCTTCCAACCACTGCTCACTTTGCAGACCAAAAGAAGGCTATCTTTGAGAAACTAAAACCAATAATTGAAGCTGCTGGTTCTTCTGGAGTCAACATATTATGCTTACAAGTAGGTTGCAACAGTATGGGCATTTGCCAGTTGATTTCACAGTTAATGAAATTCTTAAACGTTTTAATGTAATTCGATTGCAGGAAGCATGGATGATGCCATTTGCTTTTTGCACCCGGGAGAAGAGATGGTGTGAATTTGCAGAACCTGTTGATGGAGAATCAACAAAATTTTTACAAAGCTTTGCACTGAAATATAACATGGTGATCATAAGTTCAATTCTTGAGAGGGATATTAAGCATGGAGAGGTTATATGGAACACCTCCGTTGTAATTGGAAATCACGGCAATATAATTGGGAAACACAGGAAGGTAATTGCCGTAAGCTTTCTGCATCAAATTTTAATGCCCAAAGCCTCTGTTTCATACATCTCATGAACACAGTAACATTTGGCAGAACCATATACCTAGAGTTGGGGACTTCAACGAGAGCACATATTATATGGAAGGAAATACTGGCCACCCTGTATTTGAAACAGCATTTGGAAAGATTGCCATTAATATATGTTATGGCAGGCACCATCCTTTAAATTGGTTAGCCTTTGGATTGAATGGTGCGGATATTGTTTTCAACCCTTCTGCCACTGTTGGTGAACTCAGCGAACCAATGTGGCCAATAGAGGTTAGTCGCTTTGTATTACAGGATCACATGCTAAATGCTTTTTAACTTTTATTGCTTCTGCTTCTTATGTTGAATACAGGGCCCTTACATGATTGCTTATAAAACCTTTTCTCTATAATTTGATGCTAAATTATATTTAGCATTAAATTATTTCACAAGAGACTATAGGAAAATTGGACTTCACTAATGGTTGGGATGCACTTTAGAGGGTAGGGTGCGAAGTCCAATTAATGGTTGACATTTTATAAACTTGGTAATTTGTTATACACGTATATATATCTCAGAAGCTATTTTCTAATCGACAAATATCACTACCCCTCCTAAGTTAAATTCAAGAGAATTTGCATGTGTTATATTTCCTGTTTCACCTGTGCAAACCAAATTTAGAAACAGATTTTGTACTGTTAGAATATCATATCAGCATAATAGTACATGGTTTGAAAGTGTCTTTGTTTGTCAGGCACGTAATGCTGCAATAGCCAATAGTTACTTTGTTGCTTCAATCAATCGCGTTGGGACTGAGACATTCCCCAATCCATTTACTTCTGGGGATGGAAAGCCAGCACATGCAGATTTTGGGCACTTTTATGGGTCCAGTTATGTTTCAGCACCTGATGCATCATGCACCCCATCTCTATCTCGTACCAGGGATGGCCTTTTAATAACAGACATGGACCTTAACTTGTGTAGACAGGTGAAGGACAGGTGGGGTTTCAGAATGACTTCAAGGTACGAGTTATATGCAGATACACTCGCCCGCTATGTGAAACCAGAGTTTGAGCCACAAGTTATAAGTGACCCCTTGTTGCATAGGAAGTCCTCGTAAACTATGTTGTAATAATGTGTTCATGTGTGTTCACTGCTTATGGTTCAGGCTCTGTAAGATGGCCAATGCAAACAACCTTAAACTCTGATGTATTAAATTCTGCTCTCAAAGTTTCACCATGCATAATTAGTAGATTTGGTGTACTTTAGTGTTTCAAAAGGCTGTTTAAGAAACTATAGAATAGAAGTGCTCTATTTTAAAAGTTGTACTCTTTTTTAAAATAGAAAGTAATTCAATGACGTTCAAATGATTTTCTTCTTATTCTTGGTTGCCTATAGTGTACTTACGGAAAATTGTTGAAGTTGTACTTCAATTGCTGTCGTTTCTTCATTCATGCTAAAATATCTTAGTTGTTAGTTTTTTATTTAGTTAAAGTTGTTTGACTGTTTCAAATACTTTAGGGAGCAATAGTTTCAGATGTTTAGGAAGTTGTTATACATGGTATCGTATCACATGTGTAGTTTCTATTTTCTTGTTTCAGTTTGAGTTTCAGCAGTATTTAAAAGTCTTCACCAGTCCAATAAAAAAAACTTATCTTTTCCACAACAATTTCTTTCTTATTTACTTCCTAATTACTTATTACGTAACTTATTTATTTTTTTCATTTCTTTTAAAACTCCAACAAATTAGTATCTAGAGCTCTTTTCTTAAGGGACCTGTGACCGAGAAATACTTTATCTTGGTTTTCTTTACTTATGGATTCAGAAACGCCATTCACGACATGACACCACCAGCTTTTGATGGTGAAGGTTATCATGTCTGGGCAGCAAGGGTAAGAAGATGACGTGTACTTGCTCAAAAAGGTCTTGGATGGCCTGAAACAGACTCCAAGAACATGGTACAACAAAATTGATGAGTCCTTAATGCAGTTGAGTTTTAAAAGAAGTCTTAATGAAGTTGCTATCTACATTAAAGGTGATGAAATCAATTTCCTTGTTGTCTCATGGGATGATTTGCTTGTTACAAGAAACAATGAAGAACTTGTGAGAAAGTTCAAAGAAGATATGAAGCAAATTTTTTAGATGACAAATTTGGGAAAAATGACTTATTTTCTAGGAAGGGAAATAAAGCAAAAAAATGGAGAAGTATTCATGTGTTAAAGGAAGTATGCTAAACAAATTCAGAATGGATGAGTTCAAGAGCATATATACTCCAATGTGTCACAAGAAGAAGCTAGGCAAAAAAGATGAAGTTGAACTAGTTGATGAAACTTTTTACAGAAGTTTAGTTGGTTGTTTAATGTACTTAACGACTACTAGATATTACATTCAGTGAGTCCATTATCTAGATTTACCAATTGTGCAACTGAAACACATCTTACCGCTACTATAAGAGTCCTGAGATATGTGAAAGGAAAATTAAATTTTGGAATCAAATTTTGCAGAAGTCAGGATTATGTCTTTCAAGGATATTCTAATAGTGACTAGGGAGGTTCTCTTGATGACCTGAAGAGCTCCTCAGCTTACTATTTCTTGTTTAGATCATGTGTGTTCTCATGGCGCTACAAAAGCACAACACAATGGCGTAGTCTATAACAGAAACAAAATTCATTGTAGCTAATGTTGTTGTAAATCAGGTTTTATAGTTAAGAACAGTGTTATAGATTTGAATATGAAGCAAGGGAGATGCACTAAAATATTTGTTGACTGATAGAAGATATAGAAGAAGAGAAGAATTTGGTATTTCGAGATACCAACCTCCAGAGAAGACCGTTAGGAATAATTCTGAATTATTTTTCCTTCCTTCCCAATGTTTCTCACAATAGTAGATATAAACAAATCTATCCTATAACAGAATTCTACCAAATGCGAAAACAAACACAAATCCTAATAGAAATTATTCTCACTCTACATAATGCATAATTGTAAAAGAAACTATTTCTCTTGGTGAATAAACTCATCCCATCCAGTTGAGCTTGAAGTTTGTCTAGAACTTTTTCTTATGATTGGCCCATTCACACCAATTGGGTTGTTGGTGTTACTCGGCCCACTAGTGCTAGTATCTGTATCATCCCTTATCCCTTGGAGAAAAACCTTGTCTTAAGGTTAAAATTTTGTTTGATATTTGTCCATGACTCCCAGGTTGCCTCTTCAGGAGAAAGCCCCCTACACTGCACCAAAACTTGTATGCTTGATGGGTTAATCGAAGTATCTTCTCGATGATTCAAAATAACTAATGGAACTAACAATGACCCATTTTGATGAGTTTCTACAGGAAGGATGCCAACCTCTATCGGTGGATTTTCAACATGGGGTTTCATAACAAAACAATGAAAAATAGGATGTATGCGGGATGTTGTTGGTAAAGCTAACTCATATGCCACTTCTCCAATGTGACGAATAATCTGAAAAGGATCAAAGTAGTGTTTCGCTAGCTTGTGAGGAGCGTGACCAACCACAAAAGTTTGGCGATATAGACAAAGTTTGACATACACCCAAGTCTGTACGTCAAATTGGATTTCACGTTGATGGTTATCCGCCAACTTCTTCATGCGCTCTTAAGACTTGTGTAAACTCTTGTGTAACTTAGCTAACAAAGCATCACGGAAACTCAGCATTTCTTCTACTACCTCCACTGGAGATTGCCCCAATAAGTATCCTAGTAGTGAAGGGGGAGCCCGACCATACACAATCTCAAAAAGTGTGAAGCCGGTAACTGAATGGATAGAAGTGTTGTAACACCATTCTGTCCATGGAATGTAGTGACTCCATTAAGTAGTTTGGTGGTGGCAAAAAGCTCGTCAGTATTACTCAAGTGTACGATTGAACACTTCCGATTGTCCGTCTGTTTCTGGGTGATAAGCAGACGACATACGCAACTGGGTACCACAAGCCTTGAATAGTGCCTACCAAAATTTGCTCAAAAATAAGAGATCACGATATGAAATAATACTTAGGCATTCCATGGAGTTTAGCCACCAAATTGATGAATAAAAGAGCTACTTGGTAAGCAGAATATTGAGTAAGTAGAGGACCAAAATGGGCAGCTTTAGAAAAATGACCTACAACAACCAAAATAGTAGTATATCCATGGGAAGGAGGGAGATGGGTGATGAAATCCATGGCCAAGTCTTCATAGAGTTAAGTGGGTGGTGTAATAGGTTGGAGGAATCCCACTACCTTTTGAGGGCTATACTTAATTTGTTGATAGATCACACATCTTCGAATAAAATCCCTGACATCCTTAGACATCGCTGGCCAAAAAAAGTTTTACTGCAATTGGTTAAGGGTCTTAACCAATCCAAAGTGACCATCCAAAGGGGTTGAATGAAATTCTATCATTAGCACTTCACAGAAAGGAAAAGAGGAAGGCAACAAAATTTTTTCCTTGAAAAAGATCATGTTATCCTGGAGTTTGTAATCAGTTGTCATTTCAACACCTTATTCAATATCTTATTCATGGAATGAAATTGTTGGTTGGAGTGGAGAGTTGTGCTTAATTCCTCTAAGAATTGGAAATGAGGAACTATAATGATGCAGAGTTGAGAGGTACTCTGTTTGTTAGAAATTCGTGATAATGCATCTGCTGCAGCATTTGTGTGACCAGGACGATATTGGATCGTGTAATTGTATCCCAGGAGTTTACTCATGTAATATTGTTGTTCTGGAGTCTAAATAGTTTGAGTTAAGAGATCCTTCAAGGGCTTGTGATCTATTTGTATGATGAAGTAATTACCTAAGAGATATTGTCGCCACTTTTTTTTCGTTGATGTAATGGCATGGAGCTCACGCAAATATGTGAAGCTTGCATCATACGAGGACAAAACTTTTTACTTAAAAACGCCACTGGTTTTTAGTCCTGTGATAGAATTGCTCCTATAGTTGTACCTGAAACATCAAATTGAACCACAAATGTTTTTGTAATATTTAGTAACGCCAATATCGGAGCAGTGAACATGACTTATTTAAGTTTATCAAACGCATCTTGAGCCTGTGGAGACCATTGAAAAGCATCTCTGCACAACAAATCTGTGAGGGTTGATGCCAAGGAAGCACAATTGCGGATAAATTTGCGGTAAAATACTGTGAGACCCAAAAATCCTTTCAAGTCCTTGACAGAGCTAGGGGTTGGCCAAGAAATCATAGCTTCAATTTTGGAACCATCAGGCCCTACTGATCCTGCACTGACTATGTGTCCCAAATATTCAATCTGTTGTAAGGCCAAACAACATTTGGACACTTTCAAATAGAATTGGTTAATCAGAAGTAAATGAAAAGTGGTTTCCAAATGAAGTAAATGATCAGGCCAAGAGGTATTCTAGATTAGAATATCGTCAAAAAAGACGATAATAAACTTTTGTAAATGGGGCCGGAAGAGTGCGTTCATGGTGGCTTGAAATGTTGCTGGTGCATTGGACAATCCGAAAGGTAGCACACGAAAATCATAGTGTCCATCGTGCGTGCGAAAAGTCGTCTTGTGTTTATCATTCGGGCTCATGCGAATTTGATGATAGCCTTGTAGAAGATTCAATTTTGAGAACCAAACTGCAACACCCAAATCATCGAGCAATTTGTCAATTATTGGAATCAGAAAGCTATTCGGAACAATGATTGCATTAAGTGCACGATAATCAATGCAAAAATGCCATGTGTGGTCCTTTTTCTTCACCAAGAGAATTGGGGAAGAAATGGCACTGGTGCTCGGACGAATTTCACCCATTGCCAGCATACGATTTACTTGAGTCTCAATCTCCTGTTTCTGAGAATAGGGGTAACTGTAGGGACGAACCTTCACTGGGACTAAGTTGGGGACAAACAATATAGTGTGGTCTATGGGACATTTTGGTGGAAGTGAAGTGGGTTCCTCAGAAAGGACTTGATATTGTTGGAGTAAGGAAGACACATTTGGGTGGATATAATCAGAGATGGATGAGGGTTTGGTATGGCTAGGCGTCGCTAGAGAAAGATGAAAGCATTTTGAGATCTGTCCCCAGTGTGATAAACGGTGGATTTGATGGATTGAAATAGTCATGGGTTGAGGTTATGTATCTCCTAGAAGCT